ATTCGGTGTTCTGAGCACTGAATGATATTCTGTGCACAGAGACTGTGCACATTTTTGGTGCTTAGTGAGACAGTGTTCTTTCCTTTCAGTGTCCTCCTGTGTATCTCACACAGTTGAAAAGACCAAGGAAAATGATAAAGCCAAAGGGCTTTGCACAGTTGCCAACTGTTACGACACTCAGAGGGACTACTAATTATTCTTAGTATAAATAGCCAGGCTGGAGTTCATCATCTCCCATCACGGGACACCGGGAAGTACTTCACGTCCAACGCCGCCCAGCCTCCAAGCACAAACACTGGGGCTGTCTGGGGCTGAAGTATTTTAAAGAAAAGAGATGATCTTTGAATTGAATACAAATTCAAAAACAATTCTAGCCAACACAAAGAAAATGGCAGGCATCTGCAGGACACCACGGGTCTGAGTTGGGAATTTCTGATACATGGTATTCAACTTCATCCACCTCTAAGTAGTAGAAGGTTGAGATTATGCCATACCCTGAATTTGTTTAATTTCCCCCCACTTCTCAGCTCCAAACTACACATTCCACTAACGAGCACCTTCCAGAGTCAAGGACAGGATCCGGACATGAAAGGCACGAGCAGCTATGTCAGACTGTGTTCTTGGCACAGTCTAGTGAGGAAGTTTTCTCTCCTAAAGGCTCCTTAATAGTAGCGGTTAAATATCTGCATACCCACACTTGCCTAGCACTCATAAGGCCCTGGGTCCAAGCATAACCCCACAAACACCTGTATTCCCAAGACCTTACAAGTACTCAGAATCGACCAAGATACTTAGGTATGAGGCACGCGCAGCTAATAAGGACTTTATGGGTGGGAAAATGAAGTCTAGAAACTAAAAGTTGAAGTCAATCAATGAAAGTCACAGAACTGGCTTGAAATCCTAGCACAGAAAAAAAAAAAAAAGTCATCTTTGACAGCTACCCACCCAGAGCAGAGCTCATCTTGTCATTCAACCCTACCTACCACATTCCCCACAGCCACCTCTCTCGTCTGGTGGTCATGAGCCCATGTCCTCTCCCTTCTCCCTGCCCATTCAAGGCTCACCAGACCCTTCTCTTGCCCTGAAGAGTACCTCAGACTCACACCTACCCTCCACTGTCTTCTGACATCTTCTAAACTCCTACATCTCACCAGCCTTCCAGGCAGCTGTGTTTTCTCCCAAAGCCCTAAACCTCAGGACCAGAGATTCTGGCTCTCTCACCAGCTAAGCAGTCATTTCACTCCTCTGAGCCTCAGTTTCTTCATCTGTAAAGTGGGAAGGACAACTTATGACAAAACAGCTGGAAGAAAAAAACGATCCTTGCAGAACTGCTTTTAGGTATTGTCTTAAAAAATTATTTTTATTTTATGTGCATGTGTGCCAGAGTGCATGGATGTGCACCACAAGCATGCAGGAGTCCATGGAGACCAGAATAGGGTATTAGTTCCCCTGGAATTAAAGTTACAGGCTACTGTAGGTCACCATGTGGGTACTGGCATCCAATCCTCAGTCCTCTGCAAAAACAATAGCTGCTCTGACATTTTTTAGCAATTTATCTATTTGTTATTTGTATGTGTATACACATATGTCTATGCATCACATCGCAGGCATACTTGTGTCCACAGTACCAGAAGAGTCTCAGATCCTTGAGACCGGAGTTGCGGACAGTTGTGAGCTGCCATGTGGGTGCTGGTAATCTAACCTGGGTCCTCTGGAAGAGAAGCCAGTGCTTTTAGTTGCTGAACCATCTCTCCAGTCCCAACTGCTGTTTAAAGCATTAGCCTGTGGCTGCTATTTTTGCATACCCTTCCCTTATCCCCAGAACATACTTTTTGCTGCTGCTGATGGTGTCTTGAGATAGGGTCCCACAACAACCTCAGGCTGTCTATGAAGCTGAAGCTGGCCTTGAACTCCTGACCCCCCCGGCTCCACCTCCACTTGGGATTACTAACATGTACCACCATTCCCAACATATGTACATACTTTAAAAAAAATCACAATACTGAAAATCATGTTTACTCTTTACCACAATACTACAGAACATCCACTAAAACTTCAATGTGTCAATTTATCATTTTTTTCCAAACTAAAATGACTAAGTCCTACCTGCTGATTATTGGCTGCCTAGCAACAGGGACCTTTCATCATCCTCATGATCAAATTTATTTTTCTTAAGATCTATTTATTATGAGTACCGTGTGTTTGCCTGTATATATGTATCTGTAGCACGTGCACGCCACAGAGGCCAAAAAACAGGTGTCAGATCCCCTGGAACTCCAGTTACAGATGGTCATGCGAACACTGGGAACTGAACTTGTGTCTTCTGCAGGAGCAACACGTGCTCTTAACAGGAACCATATATCCTCCAGCCCCTCAAGCGTCTTTCAACAGGCAAGAGTGGACTACGGCCTGGGAGGGTATTTTTCCTTCACAGGTCATAAACCAGTCACATCACATGGCCTCTTCAGATAGAAAATACTTGTCTGACTTAATTATTCTTCGGTGAACAGAAAGATAGTCCAGTTCACTGAGTCTCTACAGTGTTCCAGATAAGATACCAGTTGCTGGTAGATATCACCCCTTCAAACCACAGCACTCTAAACACAAGTCTCCCCGTCACCCTTCCCTGCTTTTCGCTCCGCCGGTCACTCTTGGGTTCTGAAGGTTTCCACAATCTTCTGAGGTTCTACAGCCAAGGTCATTCAACTCAGGCCACATCTAGCACATTTATTTCTTTTTTACGGCCATTCAAATACCCGTCTGTCCCTTATTTCCCCTTTTGACATTCTGCCCTTTATACCTACCAGCTCTATACCTACCAGCTTCCCTCCCCAGGCCTACAAAACCCTCAAGTTCACTGGCTTGAACTCAACACTGGATTGAGAAATGAGCGTGGACCACAGTAAAAGAACACTTGAAGATGGGGGCAAAAAGAATCCCAGCACCCTCATCCGCCAGATCAGAGATGCCTGCAACTTTGTGTGAAGGGACCAATGTCATCCTCCACAGGCACCCCCATACACAAACATGTATGTATTCACTCACACAGACACATGCACACGCATATATACATAAAACAAAATCTTTTCAAAAAGAGAGGGGCTGTCTGAAGAGATGACTCAGTGGTTAAGAGCACTGGCTGCTCTTCCAGAGGACCCAGGCTTTAGTGCCAGCTCTCACATGGAAGCCCACCACTGTCTCAAACGCCGGTTCCAAGGGATCCTACACCCTCTTCTGGCCTCTGGGGGTGCAAGACATACAAGTGACGTATAGACATACATGAAGGCAAAACAAACTCATAAAACTGAAAAAAAATAGAGAGAGAGATACTCGAGTGAGCATCAGAGAACAAAGTGTCACAGAAATAGAAAAAGACTTTCAGGTCCCAGGATCCATGATTACTTATGAAAGACACTGAACCAAAAAGAACAAAATGTCCCTAAAGTACCAGTTAACCAACAGAAGAAGCCTCAGTAAGTTCATGGGCCCCTCTAAAGACTAAAAAGTAGGTTATAAATTCATATGCAAAGAGGAAAATAAGCAAACCTCTACTGCCTGAACTAGTCAGACCCATAAGGGCAATTCAGATCCCTGTTCACACAACCTGCTAACCCAGCTTTAATGTTTAATTTTTAAGCATTTTATGTGTGGGTGTCTTGTTTGCCTGTACGTCTGTGCACCATTTACATACCATGTATATAAAAGGGGCCAGAAGAGGGCAACCAATCCCCTGGAACTGAAATTACAGCCAGTTGTGAGCCACTAGACAGTTGCTGAGAATTGAACCTGGATCAGCAGCCAGTGCTCTTAACCAGTGAGCCAGCACTTCAGCCCCAAAACATAGTTTTAAAAGACACTAATCAGCATTTTTGACTGATCTCTTGGCATAAGTTCCTGCCTTGGGTGAAAAGCCAAATTGCTTGTTTATTACTTACTGCTTACAATGTTAGAGATCAAACCTAGGATTCTGTGTGTGCTTAGCTAGCTCAACCACTGAACTATGCCCCAGTCTGCATGTGGCTTTTTCAGTAAGGACACTTATCAGTGGCCACTTTGCCTGTGCCTTTCCTTCTGGGGCATGCTGCCCATCTCTGGCTCCTTACAGTATTGACGGGTGATCTGAATACTATACACTATACTACCAGCAAGATTTCGGTCTTGTCAATTTAATATAGCGAGAAAACAAGAGTCAATGTAAGGAGACACTGCATATCAACAAAGAAAGTTAAAAAATGAGAACTTGGAAAGTCCCACCACATCTTATGCCCAAACACCTCGTGTGAAAGACAAGAGATAAGGTCAAGAGGAGTCTCTGGCAAAGTCACTACTGGAGTCCAAGTTTCCGGGTTCCAGGGGAGTGCTTATCAACAAGCAGTGCGCCGGCCTGTCTCTCTTCTTTCCTAGGAGGCTCTGCGACCCACCCGTGCCATCCCCCGGCCAAGACAGTCACCTTCCCGGAGCGCCTCCCCCATTCCAGTCCCTCCTACAGCCTGGCGGAGTTGCAGCTCAAATTAGAAGTCGTGCAGCTTGGGACATTTTCTGGGAAGGTGCCCAGCCTCAGAGCCATTGGTACCCATGAGTAGAGACGGGGAGGAAAGAAAGAAGTGACATTCCACAAAGGCTCTGGGAGAAAGAGGCCCTTGGAGAAGACTGCTCGCAGTGACATCTCCCACCCAATACGCAAGGGTAAGCGGACCAGCACGAGCACTACTTCTAGGGAGAAACTGGAAAAGCTGGGCCCTGATGGGTAGGGATGCAAGGGGCCTCTCAGAGTCCAAGTTGCACCTCAGGGGAGCCTCCGGGCAGGGTGAGGTGGCACCGGCGTTAGGCAGAGGCCTCATGACAAGGATGCCTGGTCCACCTTTGAGATGACACCACTAATTGGCAGAGGCCCAAGCCGCACGTGAAGTGATATCTGTGCGGGGAGGAGGCCCCGGACCTCACCAGCCCGGCCGGTTGCTCTGTGGCTCACTCGACGCCTGCCCCACGCGCGGCCTTACCAAGACATTGCCCTACAGGGGTGCTGAACGGATTCCCCAGCAGGAACTCCATCTCTGCAGGCCTCGTTCCGGCCCGGATGCCTGTCTGCCACGGGTCTCCGCTGCCCGCGCCGCGCTCTGCCCTGACTGACACTTGCCCCCGCCCCACCCTCGGGAACGCCGAGCGCCGGTCTGACCTCGCCCTCTGGGTGCATCCCTATTGGGCAGCGTCTCCCCAGACCGCCTCCGATTGGACGGCACGCTGCTCTCAGTGAAGTCCCACCCACCCCGCAGCGTCCGATTGGACACAAAGCAAGCTAAGTCACTGGAGTCCCCGTCAGCCGTAGCGGCACAACCCTCTGGACCCGCCTCAAAACGAGGTTCCTTTCTTTTGATTCGTTAGCCTGTTTGTCAGTCTATAAAATCCTTACTATGATTTGATAAAAGACATGTCCATCATCCAAATAACGATAGCGTAACTAGAAGTTGCGGCGCATCGACTGTGCTGATTGGAGAGACGTTTGTTTTCTTCAAGGCTGGTTGGTGTTAGAAGCGTTTCGCCGCCCAGAAATGTGGTCACGTGATACGTCAACTTTCACCCAGGATATTTATTGCCTGACTTCCCCTTAGCAACAGAGTGGCGGTGCTTGGTTACCCAGCAACCAAGAGACGCGTCCACTTCAAGGAGAGTCCTTAGAAAGGTAAGAAGCAAGAGGCTAGACTCCAAGACGACTCTAAGATCAGAGGTTGCATGATTCAGTTCTGTCTTTTAACTGTTCTGTGAGGACTCCGACCTGGCCTTTCTCATTTGTAAAGTGAGCACATCTATCATTTTACACTTGTACTGAGATTTATCAGCCCTTACTAGAAGAAAATCATCACATATAGCTCCTAAAGCCCGCAAAAGCTGGAAGGAAGAGCGTCCATCTGCCAGTTTCCTGGCCTGATCAGTTTCATAGACAAAGAGGTACCCGGTCCTCTTGATCTGAAGTAAGTTACTTCATTTGGTGCTGTATGAAGGGCTTAGAAGGAGAATCCAGAACCTGGGGTTCCATAGCAATCTCTGTCAGTAATTCACAGTAATTTCCCCAAGGCCTCAGTTTTCCTCTCTGGGAAGTAAGTGTTCTCCCGCTATGTTACACTGGGGCTCCCTTTTCAGGAGCTCCCAACACTGATGTGCAATTATATAAGTTGTGTGCACCGAGAGTTAAACAGCACTCAGTCCGTTGCTGCTATTCTCGTTATGTTATGGCCAATAGGATCTACTTGGTGCTTCAGGCCCAACTGACCCAGGTTGCTGTTTCCCAGGAAACCTGGACTTTTGTCCCGTGAAGAGGCTACCTGATTGATTTGCAAAGCAGTTATCTGCTGTTTCTCCACATCCTACCTCTGGTCTTCACCAAGGACACTGTCATCAGGCAAGTCAACCAGACCCCTGTTTGGATAAATTATTGATATAATCCCCATAGGAGAGGATTCTTTGGGTCTTGTCCTAGGAAAAATTGTTAGAAAAATGAGCTGTGAGCATGGCTGTTCTGTTCCTAGTTTGCTGGTTACAAGAGAGTCACAATTAGGAAAATTGGCTCCACTATGGACTAGAAGTCATGCCTTTTGATAAATCTGCATGTTGGCTGATCTAGAAAAGCCTTAATGTTACAAAGATCCCTACTATGTGCTTTCATAGTTCTGCAAACCCACTTGCTCGTCGTTGTTTGGAAGTAAATATCGGGACGACTTATTTAATTCAAGTCTGAAACAGCAGAACCTCTCTGTCTGAGTTATTCCTAGCTGTTTCTGTCAGCCCCGGAAATCAGGTCACACCCCTTCAGTATCCTTTTCAAGGTTGGTTATAGAGAGCTGCTGGGATCTTGTAGCTCTCACAAAGATCTCTCCCACACACACACATCAGCTGTGAGCAAGCCCAACTCCCCCATACCTGGGCTGAGACAGACTTCAGTTGGAACTGTGCTCTCTTGTCTAGGCTTTCCAGAGTAGGTCAGGCCAGATTGCATGGTACAGAACTAACAAACACACACACCCAAAAAAAGAACAGTATGAGTCAGAAACGTCCTTTGTTCTCTGGGTCTGAGGAAGCTAATGGAAAGGAAAGGTTTGTTTTTCCCTTCAGGGCTCCTCATGGCTGCCTAGACCATGACATCATCTCCCCTAGTGCTCTCCCACTCCACAGCTCCTCATGGCTGTCTGTGGGCATGACCCTTGAACTCTCCTAGCAAAGTTCTGAGGGACAATTTATTTTTCTATTAAACTCTCCTCCACCCCATTCTCTAACACTATTATTGGGTCAATCAATCACTTAGCTTGGGCACAACCTACCAAACTAGATTCTGTCTTAAACTGGGAGTGATTAGTCCCACATATAAACTAAGTTCATAGAGATGTCCCAGACCCCATAACTCCTCCCTCCCTTCCTTCCTTCCTTCCTTCCTTCCTTCCTTCCTTCCTTCCTTCCTTTTTTCCTCCCTCCTTCCCTCCCTCCCTCCCTTTCTCCTTTCTTTCTTTCTTTCTTTCTTTCTTTCTTTCTTTCTTTCTTTCTTTCTTTCTTTCTTTCTTTCTTTCTTTTTTGAGACAGGGTCTCTCTGTGATAACTCTAGCTGGCCTGAAACACACTATATAGACCAGGCTGGCCCAAACTCAGAGATCCACCTGCATCTGCCTCCCAAGTGCTGAGTTTAAAGGCATGTGCCGCTCCTAGCTAGACTCACTTCCCTTTGTAATTCTTGGCACAGCAGTTATAATTGTTTGGTTGGAGCCTCTGGCTCACCTCTGCATTGTCCTGGAAGCCCCATTCCCTCCCCCTTCTCCCCACCTCTGTCTCCAAACCCTGCCACTCAGACAGTCTCTGAACAAAGGAAAGATGCCAAAAAGCCCAGTTCCCTCTTTCTTAATGGCTACTGCGACTTCCTTCCCTGAAGTTGCCTGCTGACCAAATCCCCACCTAACCACTCAACTTTTTACCATACTTGGGCAAAAACCCATCTTGTGGTAGAAACATCATCACTCCTACAGCCTATAAAACTTTCCTACCTGTCTTGGGTGCACAACTTCTCTGGCCTCCATCTCTGGGATCCGAGAACCTGCCCAGGGGGAGTTGCTTTGCCCAATAAACCTGTTGTTATACTTTTTCAGTTCAACTTAATCTGGTTTACTGCATCGGCAGAGAAATTTGTTATGGGGGAGGAACAGAAAACCCATTAGTAATGAGCTTTCTAAAAGTAAAATCTGATCCATCTCTGCCTTATAAGCTGTAGGAGCTTCCCAGCATCATAGGACAGAAATGCAGTGCAGGCCTGCATCACTTCTGCTTTCCTGCCAGGGGGCGGGGTCTTTTCTTTTCATCCTTCAAACTGTGTCTTCCCTGGCCGGGCCAAGTGTCCCTACTGCGTGCTTTCATAGTTCCCCACACCTACTAACTTGTCATTGTTTTTGTTTTCTTTTTTTGAATTTTCAAGACAGGTTTCTCTTGCTTTGGAGACTGGCCTGAAACTCACTCAGTAGACCAGGTTGGCCTCAAACTCACAGAAATCCCCCTGCCTCTGCTGGGATTAAAGGCACACGCCACCACTGCCCGCCCTAATTTGTCATTGTTTGTAAGTAAATATTGGTATGACTATTTAATTCATGTCTGAAACAGAAGTCCTATCTGAGCTATTCATAGCTTGTAGTAGTTATTCAGTATGGATGTGTAGGCCAGGCACAAGCTCTTACAAAAATGGGGGAAGAAGGGATTACCTGCCTAACTGGAAAAAGACAGAGGCGGGAGCTGGTGGAGTTATTTTCCAAAAGACACCCGGTCAGAACCTGCCCTGCCCTGGGCGTGAACGATGAACATGGACAACATCAGTCCTACACCGCCTAGAACCTGCAGAGCTTGACTGGAAGCTAGCTTGGCCGGTCACACTTAATGGACTTTGATGAAATGGAGGTCAAAGTTTTGACACCAGAATTGAGTCATTTCCCAAAGTACAACACCTTTTTTGAAAAAGCTCCAAATACTTTTCAGATAACATCTGACAAATGAAACACATTAAAATTTCCCCAGAAGTAAATTTGGAGGTTGGTAGTAAATTACGAGAAACTTTAAGGAAAATTATTTAGGAAGATTAGGAAGCTGATGAGCACAAGAATTGTTCTGGGAGGACAGTCAGTCAGTCACCTGAGGAGGAAGAGTCAGCCGGAAAGAGTAGGGAAACAAGGCTGAGGTTTTGAAGGGTTGGGGGCACAGATGGAGAACAAGCAAGAACCCTGGGAGATATCCAGATCTATTCACCCCAGATAGGATACCAACGGCAGACCAAAGAAACCATCCCATCAAGCATAGCTTGGTGAGCCAGCTCATCGCAATTGCTTGCAGGAGTGACTCAAGGGCAGCTGCATCGCTAAAAAGCCAATCCCAGCGTGGGTGACAAATCAGGACAGTTGCATCCTGGAGCTCTCAGCCTAAATTACAAGCCCCGCTATCGAAGACTGTCTTTCCTTCCTCAAAACTTATATATGAACTCTGTTGTTGTTTGTTTGGGGTGTTGTTTTTTTTTAATATTTATTTATTTATTTATTTATTTATTTATTTATTTATTATGTATACAATATTCTGTCTGTGTGTATGTCTGCAGGCCAGAAGAGGACACCAGACCTCATTACAGATGGTTGTGAGCCACCATGTGGTTGCCGGGAATTGAACTCAGGACCTTTGGAAGAGCAGGCAATGCTCTTAACCACTGAGCCATCTCTCCAGCCCTGGGGTGTTGTTTTGTTTTGTTTTGAAACAGGGTCCTTCTACATAGCCTTGGCTGTCCTAGAACTCACTACATAGGCCAAGGCTGGCCTCACACTTTTAAGATCCTCCTGCCTAAGGCATGCACCACCATGCCTTATATAAACTCTTCAGTAGCGGCTTAGTATTGTAACTTTGTGAGCTTCCTGAGTCTTGTGAGTCACTCTCCCTCCAGGAAGGAATGTTTTAATTCAGACTTCACACCATGGGGTTGGGGAACGGAAGGGCCAGGCACACTAGAGTTATTGACATCAGAATCTTTGCTCAGGGATAGTGAAAGACTAGAAAGTGAATACTTATATATGCTGCATTCACATGGATGACAACAGAGAAAGAGGGAGGCGATCTTAGAAGGAAGTCAGGTGGTCAGGGTTCCTGGTGGAGCAGTCTTAGGAGCTGAACTGGCCCTGTGGAATAGAAGGCAGAGGGAAGCCACACCTGAAATCGAGATGGGAGGACCAGAGGTTCAGGGAGCCCTGGGTCCAAGGGTAGAAGGTAAAAAGGAAGGTGAGAAGCAAGTGGGGCAGAGGGGAGGGTGGACTCCCAGAGTGTTCAGAGGGGAGGGTGGACTCCCAGAGTGTTCAGAGGCAGAATTGCAGTGGACAGACAGGAGCATACGGCCCTACTTTTCTGGGGATTATTGGAAATAATCACAGTGGGGTCTGAGCAGCCAGCCCTGCAGGGCTGTGATTCTACCCTGCCAAGCAGAGCAGTCAAGTACAACTAACCCAATATGCAGACTCTGCCTTCACCACCCCCATGCCTCTGAAGGCCCCTTTGGGCCGTTAGCAACTGAACCTGATCTAGCTTAAGTAACAGAGAAATTAATGTGAGAAATCCACTAACATGTACAGGGTCTGGACTTAGGGAACCAGCAAGTAAACACCTGCTGTGTCTATGTCTGTCCTTATCCTCTTCCTGCTGTCCACATACCCATGTGCCTGGCGAGCGCTAGCTACATAGTTCCTCCCTACATGAGCGGTCAGCTCATTGATCACCCTCATCCTGAGACTCCAAAGTTCCCATTTCTCAAGGAAGAACATGAATGGCCACCTTGAGTCAGTGACTCCTCCATGCATGACTGTCTGCCTGGGGTTGAGGAACTCCCAGAAAGGCCACTGCGGCTGGCGCTTTCGATGATCATTGTCAGCGACTTGAACCAGGAGACCTAGGTAAAGACAGAAGGTCAGAGATTAGCCACAGGAAACCTGAGAACCACAGGCTAAGGAGACCCATGTGGGCACCAGCCCTGTGGGCCTAGGTAGAGACCCCACTGTGGTTGTAAAGTCAAGAAGTGAACCCCTGCAGGTGGCTGCTGGGAAGGCTTAGGGAAGCCTTCCAGCAATGTGTTTGCCCCAAGGTACAGCAGGCAAGGGGCAGGAGCAGGCAGCTTATGGCCTCCTAGCAGTCCATAACACCACGACATACACTGCCCAATTCTGTTCTCAGAGCAAAGGAAAAGTCTGTGAAAGAAGAACTCAATTTCTCAGGGAATATGAGCCGGCCGTATGACTCGATGGACCCGAAGGTGATGGACGATGACATGCTCAAGGCAGCTGTTGGGGAGCAAGGCCCCCAGGAGGAGGCTGGGCAGCTAGCCAAGCAGGAGGGCATCCTCTTCAAAGACGTCCTATCCCTGCAGCTGGACTTCCAAAGTAAGTGCCTGGGTGCCAGGAGTGTGGCCTGGGGCAGCAGGGCCTCCTTGACTTTCTCTGCCCTATTTCAAATCCCCAGATTTTACAGAGTCAGGGATCAATTCATAGAGTATTGAAACCCACCAGACACAGGGATGGGGGTAATGCATGCTGCATCAAATTCCTCCAGAAGCTCCATAATTTGTCCACAATACTCCTGGTTCTGAATAAGAACAGAAAAAAATAAAATAGGATTGGCCTGCTCCAGATTTAAGTGAGCCCCCAGGGACCATGTTTTCTCTAGCGTCTAACTCCGCACTGACTTGAAATGGAGTCCTTCATATGGAATGAAGTCCTTGGAATGGAGGGATCCCTTGTGGACAGAACCAAAGAGACCCCACGTTTCTGGAGTAGGCACTGGAGGGAGTGCTTGGGGGGGATGCGTAGGGTGTCCAGAAAGGAAGTAGAGAGCCCTGAAGCAGGGAGGCACCTGGGAGTGACAGGGCAGCCCAGTGGAAGCTATGGCTCAGGACAGGCAGAGACTTACTGTCTCAGTGTTCCTATCTGTGAAACAGGAAGTAGCTCCTTGTCTCAAGTTCTGGCTGGGAAGCTAAGTGAGACAACATGTCTACAGTGCCTGGGTCATGCTGGAAAGCCAGGGAGTGTGACCCAGTGAGCCAGGACAGAAGGAGTGAGAGGGAGGAGGGAGCTTAGCTTGGTACATTTCGCGTCCACCCTCGACCAGCAAGGAAAACGCAACACCCAGAGCTCTTCTTGCAGCAGTTTTCAGGACTTTATTTACAGCAATCTCTCCCCTCCCCCCTCCCCCCTCCCCCCTCTCCCCTCTCCCCTCTCTGGACAAACCTCTCCCAGCCCTTAAGTAGGCCCGAACTGCCAGGTGGGCACTGCCCATAGGTTCACGCATACGCAGGCAGCTGATAATCATTGTGTGATCATAGCATAGGTCAGGCCTTAGCCATCTCAGGAGTTGATTATACATCTCTATCAGGTGTGACACCACGCAGCTCAGCTCACTACAGGTACACATCTCAGTACTCGGGAGGCAGAGGCAGTAAGACCTCCTGTTCAAGGCCAGACTGGGCTACACCGTGAGACCCTGTCTCAAAAATATAAGGACTGAGCAAGGGGTGGCTGGTTCAGTGGTTAAGGGCACTGGCTGCTCTTCCAGAAGACCCAGCTCAGTCATCTGTAATTCCAGTCCCAAAGATCCAATGCCTTCTTCTGGCCTCCACAGGCATTATATACATGTAGTACACAGACATATGTACGGGCCAAACCCCATGTATATAAAATAAAAGAAAGGAATATATATATATGAACTGAGAAAATTGTTCAGTAGTAGGAGGCTTATGATGCATGAGACTCAATCCCAATACTGCCTAAAAGAGGAGCAGGAGAAAGGAGGAGGTGGCCAAGGCTCCTGAGCCCTCTGTTTTCTGAGTAGGTGAGGACCCAGAAAGTGACCTGATGTTTTAGGCCGCAGCTGTCTAGGCATTTGGTCAACATCAAAGGCACAGGGTCCCTTGCCAAATGCTGGAACAGCCAAAAGCAAGAAGACCTGGCCTTAAATAAGTCCACAGGAGTCCTGGGTGTGGCCTCCATTGATGTCCTAGGGTGGCAGCTTCCCTGGAAGGAGTGAATGAGGAGCAGCTACTTCCTCCCCACCTCCCCCTCCCGCCTAATGGGCATTCTGCCAGTGCTGAGCAAGTGCCTAAGAGATGCCAGATGCTGTTCCAGGCACCCAGATTTAGCAGTCCAAAAGACAAAGAACCTTACCTTTGTGGAGTTGGTGTGAGGGAGACAAAGAAGACAAGGAAATTAGATCATTACAGGCAGTATGTGTTGTGGGGGAAAAGAAAGCAAAGAAAGGAGAAAAGGGAAATCAGAGTTGGGTGCAGTGTTTTCTACAGTGGCCAGAGCCTTGCCAAGGTGAGAGCTGAATAAATACTTAAGGAGATGCGGAGATCTGAGGGCATGTGTGTGAGAGAGAGAGGAGGGGATGGGGAGGGAGGGAGCAACCAGTGGGAGGCCAAGAGGTAGGCCAGAGCCAGCCTGAGAAGGCCTGCTGAGGAAGCCAGTGTGCGGACAGGCAGGGAGGTCATGTAGTCAGCAGGTGCTTGCCTTGGACAATGAAATGTATTTGGCTTTTATAGTGAGTTGGGATTGCCAAGAATATTGAGTAGAAACAGGATAGAGTGGGACTTGAGTTCTCATAAACCCCTGCTGGCTACATGCAGGGGCCGGGGGAAACAGGAATCTAGTGAGATGGCTACTACTGTGATGATGATGGCCTTGCCAAGGTGGCGCTCACAGAAGTGGAACTGGTGGCTTCTGGGTGGGAAGTTCATTTGGAGCAGTCGGATATACCCTTGTTCATTGAGGTATCTGGGCCTTTCCATGTCACCTGCTGTTGTCTAAGGGCAAGCCAGGTACAGGTGTGTCATAGCCACCTACCTAAAGTGTCCCAGCTGGAAGCCACCCAACAAAGGGTGAGTCAGGGCTAGGTTTCGGCCTGTCAGACAGCAGGGCCCGAGTAGGTGCCAGGAAAATCCAGACCAGAAATAGGAGGTGGCTAAGAGCCTTGGGCTGAACTGAGTACCACTTCCAGAAATATGTCGAGACAGAAACAGAATTAGTTTGGGAAATCTGGTAGCAAACAGAGACCTAAACAACAGATTCGTGTACCACCTGTCCCTGAGGACATGGAGGAAATAGAAGGAACCACTCCAGCCCCAACAGGAAAGCAATGGAGATCAGATGATCCTGTGTCCCCCAAGACCTGTGAAGGGTCAAGTAGCCACACACACCGAATCGCAGAACCTCACCAACAGACCCCATCTCTTGGACAAGTGTGAGCTGTCACTAGAATTTTGTTTTGTATTGGGGATTGAAGCTGGGGCCTTGGTAGTGCTACCCAGGTGTTCTACCACTGAGTTATGTCTCCAGGCTTATACCACCTTTTGCCTGGTGCCTGTAGAGGTCAGAAGGTGGTGTTGGATCTCCTGGAACTGGAGTTACAGATGACTGACTATAAACCACATGTGGGGGCCAGGAACCAAACCTGGGTCCTCTGCAAGACTAAACAAGGGCTCTTAACCACCAAGTTGTCTCCCTACCACCTTAGCTGCCCCAGGTTCTCTTTTTTTCATTTTGAAACAGGCTCTCACTGAGCTGACTGGCATTACACTTGTTAGCCTCCTCACTTAGCCTCCTGAGTAGTTAGGATTATAAGCCTCTATCTAGCACTAGTCCCAGCTGGATCTAACTGCATACCCCAGGCTAGACTTGCAGTCCTGATGATACAGGTGTGCACCCGCATGCCAGGCTCTTAATAGTCCTTTGAAAACTGCCTTCACACCTAGATCATTTCCTGGCTTTAAATGAGTATAGTCTAAGACTAAAGTTTTGGAATAACGGGGTGTGATGGCTATTCTTGGTTGTCAACTTTACAGCCTCTAGAATTAACTAGAACCCAAATGGCTGGGCACACCTGTGAGGGAATTTTTTCTTAATTAAATCATTTCAAGTGGGAAGACCAACTTTTTCTGGTTTTGTTTGTTTGATTGTTTGGTTGTTTTTGTTTTGTTTTCGAGACAGGGTTTCTCAATGTAGCCCTGGTTGACCTGAAACTCACTCTGTAGACCAGGCTGGGCTTGAACTCACAGAGATCTGCCTCTGCCTCCTGTACCACCATCACCTGGCAGATTAATTTCTAATCCAGATCTTTTAGTCTGGGCCACACCATCTGCTGGTAGCCTATATAAGGAAAAGGAAGCTCTTTTTTTACTCTGCTGGCAAGTCTATTCCTTCACTAGCATTAGAACCCACTTCTTCAGATTCCAGCATATACTGAAGACCAACTGAGGCATCCAGCCTTATGAACTGAACAACTATTGGATTCTTAGTTTCCACTGTGCTTCTAAGACTGAACTCAGGTCATCAGATCCCACAGCAAGCACTTTACCTACTGTTCCATCCTTTCTTTCCTTCCTTCTTTCTTTCTTTCTTTCTTTCTTTCTTTCTTTCTTTCTTTCTTTCTTTTTTCTTATTTTGAGACAGGGTCTCACTTGTAGCCCTGGCTGGGACTGGTTATGTAGATCAGGCCTCCAACTCACAGAGCTCCACCTGCCTCTGCCTCCTGAGTGTGACAGCCATTGTTGGACTAGCTGGACCACAGCCTGTAAGCCATTCTAATAAATCATGTGTGTGTATACATATATGTGTGTGTGTATATATATATATATACACATACATACACACATATATACACACATACATGCTAAGAGCCAGTGTTCTATCTCTAGGTCATATATAAAAAGTACCCTGAGTGGGCATTTGGATATATAAACTTTGTGTGCATATACTGTATGTATGTGGGTGTACATGCATGCACACATATTTAGAGGCATATTTATTTATATATTTATTTCTGTTCCTCTCTGTGCCTAGGGCAATAGCTCAGCAGTTAAGAGCTCTGACTGTTTTGCTAGAGTACCTGGGTTCAATTACTAGCACTCAATGGTGGCTCACAACTGTCTATAACTCCTGTTCCAGGGGATTTGACACCCTCTTCTGACCTTTAAAGGGCATTGCACATAGCACACATAAGGTATACACACATACGTGCAGGCAAAACACATACATTTAAAATAAAAATAAAGGCAGGGTTGTTTTTTTCAGTTTTGGAAAAGGCATAAAAACAAGTAGAGTTCTTTATGCTGTATTTGCACACAGCAGCAGGCCTGTGTATGGCTTACGAGGAAAGCTGGGAGGCGCTGAGTTTGTTCCGCTGACCTCTAAGCTTTACATAATCAATATGGGCTTATTTATACTACTCAGAATGCTTCTTGCTTCCAGTGACAAAAGTCAAGCTTTGGCCATTGTGACCTGCCCAGGGAAAGAATGGATACATGGCCAGGGCGAGTCCTCTAACTGCAGGGTCTCTTTGCTGCCAAGTTGTCTGGGCCCTGCTTTCTGGTGTATGAGTGATCATCCCAGCAGCTGCTCTTTTATGCTCTCACACCTAGAGATATTTCTATCATGTGTTTGGAGATGGATTTTTTTTTTTTAATTTGCTGGTCTAACTAGCATGGTGATGCAAGCCTTTAATCCCAGCACTTGGGAGGCAGAGGTAGGCAAATCTCTGTGAAGGCTGAAACCAACCTATTCTACATAGTGAGTTCCAGGACAGTCAGTGAGACCCTGACCCAAGAAAAAAGAAAAAGGAAGGAAGGAAGGAAGGAAGGAAGGAAGGAAGGAAGGAAGGAAGGAAGGAAGGAAGGAAGGAAGGGGGAAGGGAAGGGAAGGGAAGGGAAGGGAAGGGAAGGGAAGGGAAGGGAAGGGAAGGGAAGGGAAGGGAAGGGAAGGGAAGGGAAGGGAAGGGAAGGGAAATTGCAGGTCAAAGGGCATATAGATGGTAAATATTCTGATAAATGTTACAAAATGGCCTTCCAGAAGTAAAACCAATTGAGTGACCCTCCCACCATGCTTGTAACCTGTGTTCCAAGGTAGACCTGTTTCCTCAGGAGCCCCAGCCCAGTCCTTGGGGCAGTCCACACTCACCTCCACACAGCCACCTGCCTAGCTGTCCCTGTCACATCAGACCTCTCTGATCCTCCTCAGTGGCCCTGGTGACAGTGCGGGTCCTACACTCACATGCTCCTCCCCAGAGAGCTGTGGACATTGTGTGGACACGTCTGAGTACATTTCAGTCTGCCAGGGCCCTGGCAGGAAGCCCCAGCCTTAGTCAAATCTGGGCTCTGCTTGTTTCAGACATCCTCCGCATAGATAACCTCTGGCAGTTTGAGAACCTGCAGAAGCTGCAGCTGAACAACAACATCATCGAGAGAATCGAGGGCCTGGAAAACCTCACGCACCTGGTCTGGCTGGGTAAGGCCTGGCTCTGCGTCTGCCTTTGTTAAAGGCAGCCCACTGCCAAGGACATCCATCGCCTCCCCACAGAACAATCGCAGTGACACTCGGCTGCCAGCCTGTTGTTAGCCCAGGCGCAGCAGAAATGCCCTGTCTGTTAGGAGCAAGAAAGTGACAATCTGTTCAAAGCCTGGGGCTTATGCTGGGCAAAGCCTGACAGACGGGCTGCTGCGTACCAGGCAGATTACTCCATCCCTCCTGCCATCCTCTCAGGTTGGTGGGCACAGGGGCAGCCCAGGACTGGCATTCACATTGGTACAGGTGAAAGCTGGCCATTATAATGAGCACAGAACATAGCCATGTGCTGATTGTGGCCTGCTTACGCTTCATATGACTTTACTTGATCCATGCACCATCCCTATCATTACAATTAATAAACCAAGGTGACAATAAGTTAAATGAGGGTCACAGGCTCCCTTGAAAATCTTTATTTGATTCTAGAACTTTTGGCTTCACTGTCAAGGTCACTGGGGCTTGGCCTCTTAGGTGCCTCCCATCTGATGAGAGGCAGGAGAGCTTCTAAAGGACAAAAGAGGACAAGCTGAAAGCCCCTTAGAAACGTCTTACTTAGCCCCCACAATGGTCCTGGGAGGTGCTTAATGGCTGTTATTATCCAATCCAGTGGCAAGGGAGGTAGGGCTGAGAGGAGCACAGGCAAGCAGCAGCGGAGCTAGGCTAACCCCACTCCTGCCTGTCTCAGCCCAAGGCACATGCTCCTCCATCTTGTCCGGCTTCCGGAGGCCATGAATACAGCTCTCAGCTGCAAAACACACTCAGCTGTCTTTGTGCTGACGTTGGAAGCCACAGTAACCCCACTTGTGGGCTTAAGGGGCCACTTCACAGATGCAGCCCCTGAGGCTCCAAGAGACTGGCTAGCCAGACAGAGTTGTGTGCTGCAGGTGGCAGAAGCAGACAGAACCGAGTCTTCTGACTGTGGGCCCCAAGTCTCCTGCTCAGGCACCCTTTGCTCTACCCTAGTTCTCGTTAGCTCGGGTTCCTGGTCTCTGGGGTCCATCTGCATGGCTAGGAGTCACCCATCTCTATAGGAGGTGAAATAAGTACCTCAACAGTGGGACAGGTGCCCATGCCAGCCCAGGTTCTGGGCAGTAAAGCCATGGATCCTACAAGAGCACCTGCTTGCCCATTTACCCAGAGGGAGATTTGTATACTAACCACACTACCCTCCTGACCCAAAGCTTCTGCTTCCTAACTGATCAAAGAGAAAGATCCCAAACCCCCACCTGCAGGTGTCAGAGGACATGCATGCGAACATGGGGCAGATGGAAATACCAAGCACATGGGAAGCAGCCCTTCTAGAATGTTCACCAATACAAAGGAAAGGCCATCTCCCAGCTCTGCCCCCAACTACACCGTTTTAGACCCGCTGCTGGGTGTTCTCATTCCAGAACTGACAGGGCTGAGAAGTCTTCCCAGTCAGAGGGGAGCTGGCAGAACTGGGGAGATGATAGGCAGAAGGCTGCAGCCCACAGTACAGCTGACACCCCTGGAGTCCCTGAGGAGAGCTGGCGCCTCAGCTCTGTGTCACTCCAACAGCTCTAAGCAGCCTGGGGGTTTTGCTTCAGGACCATCCCTCCTCTAACCCTCAGAGTCTTCCTCCTTTCTAGATTTGTCCTTCAACAACATCGAGGCCATTGAGGGGCTGGATACCCTGGTCAACCTGGAGGACCTCAGCTTGTCCAACAACCGGATCTCCAGGATAGACTCTTTAGATGCCCTGGTGAAGCTGCAAGTGCTGTCACTGGGCAACAACCAGATTAGCAACATAATGAATGTGAGTACCAGGCTACAGATGCCATAGGGTCTTGGGCTGCACCAGAGCAAAGGTGTGTGGTGGTAGACACAGTACGCCCTTTTCCTAAAAAGATAAAACATCCAAATTATTCCACAAGGGATTTGAAAACATGGAAAGACCATGCTTAATCTGACAAAACCTTCTCTGGGCACCAGGTTGTGTGGCCTCAGCTTTGGTCCTAACCTGCTGAGTCTCATCCTTGGGTGACAAACCTTTACTGATGTGAAGTACATACTGGATGTGGGACATTGGTCTGGGCTTAGGGAGACAGAGGTGGCAATGTACAGTCCTGTTGGGGTTAACCAGTTGTACCCATTTAATCTAGACAGAAGTGGCAGGAAGTTAGTGTCTCAAATAACAAGCCATCCCTGTGGATGGTAGGCGAGCAATCTAGGTACTAAGATGTGTCTGTATGACAGCTGACACTGTTGGGAAGTAGGCTGCCCCCGGTACACATCACAGTGGGCTCCCAGTAGGGAGATACAGCCAAGACTCTGGTAACAACTACTGAGTGCTATCTCAGAGGTGACCCCAACACTTCTTCAGCTCAGACATCAGTCCAGGGCTGTCTGATACCTCTCTCCTCTCTCTCTCTCTCTCTCTCTCTCTCTCTCTCTCTCTCTCTCTCTCTTTTTTTTTTTTTTTTTTGCTTTTTGAGACAGGGTTCCTTGTAGCTTTGGAGTCTGTCCTCGAACTAGCTCTTGTAGACCAGGCTGGCCTCGAACTCACAGAGATAGCCCACCTCTGCCTGGGATTAAAGGCTTGCACCACCACCGCCCAGCTGTCTGATACCTTTCAACACTCCATTTCCACATATCAATCAGTTGGCTTGGCTTCAGTCCCAGCCATACACATGAACAGAGATAGTGAGCCAAGGCAACGAATCACTGCCCACATTTAACTTGGTGCCTTGGCTGTTCATCAAAGCCAAACCAGAGAGGCAACATAGTCTTTCCTTTGCATGTCAGGCATGAAGATCTAAGCCCCTGTGAGGTGCAAGCCTTCCACAGCTCAGTTTTCTTACCTGTCAAATAGAGGTGACAGTAGCCCACCAGCCTAAGCTCTACATGAGGTGATAAGCAAAAATAGTAGGTGCTAGGAGAGGCTGTTCTCTCTTCCTCTTCCTCCTCCTCCCCTCCCCCTCCTCTCTTGTCTGTGAACCCCACAGTAAGCCTTAAAGACTTGTCCTTCCAGCCTCTGCCTCCTGAATGGTGGATTACAGGTGAGCACTCGGCTCTGGAGCAGGTTCTTAACACACAGAGGCCTATTGTGGCAGATCTCTCTGCCAGGAGAAGGTCGGAGATGAGAATCAACCTGATTCCAGTTCCTTAAAAGATATGAGAACCAGGTGTCAGGGTGTGGTGGTGCATGTCCTAGATCCTAGCACTCTAAAGCAGAGACAAGCTGTGAGTTTGAGGCCAGCTTGGTCTACATAGTGAGTTCCAGGACAGCCAGGATTCAGGAATACATAGTGAGACCCTGGAGAGAGAGAGAGAGAGAGAGAGAGAGAGAGAGAGAGAGAGAGAGAGAGAGAGAGAGAGAGAGAGAGAGAGAG